ATGGGCGCATCCTGAGGAATAGATCGGTGCACAAAAATAAATACTATATACTAAGTTACCCTCCCCTGTAGTCCTGCCAATTTCCCAAACCGGAACATCAGGATTAACGGACTACTGCCGTAGAACAATGGACTAACGATAAGAACTACTAAACTGTATTCTCGTCATGAAATACCATTGTAAATTAGACCGAATAAGACTATATACGATAAAATTATTTTCATTTTTGAAGAAGAGGACAAACAGATCACGATAAAACCACGCAGACACCCTCTCCACCGTTAGCCAGCCTAGTATCCGTACTGAGGTCTTTTACGGTACATAGGCTTGTACATGCGCGGACGATACTCTGATTTCTGGTAGCCGTAGCCATATTGCATTCCGGCGGCGTGTAGCGGTCCCTCCGTTTTGCCAACAGGCAGAGTACTAGTAGTAGTGGGGGTTTCAGCACTACTGACCTGCATCCAGGCGCCTAACACGACCGTCGTAAGGAGAAGGAGAGCGAGTTGCATGTTCATCGTAATTGAAGTTGTAGTGTTTGTAAAATAACGCTGCGTATTTATAGTAGCTTGCTCAACTGTCATTGGCTGATTTGCTCTAATGGCCTAAAGGTCGCTGCCGACGCGTGACCTCCCTAGCAAATGTGACGGTTGTGATTGGTTAACGGATTACACCAATTTCGTTGATCGGGCGGCTGACTGAACGACCGACCTGTGAGGGCCTGATGACCGTTCGCACTCACATTACCATCGGCGACGCAAGATAGCTTACACGGATTAAGTTGCACACATGAGTGTTCTCAACCGCATTTGTCTGTCTGTGGTGAGACGATTTCTGTTATTCTGCGATAAGCTAATTTCCGTGCCCTTTGAGACCATCAGGCGAAAGAAAACCTTTTGGGTTTTAAGGAAGTATAGTCAAATGCACCGGGCCATAACAAATTTGAAAGAAGGAGAAGAAGAAAGGGAAGAAACACTCGCTGCACCGTGGGGTTTATTGGCCTGAGTTTTCGGATTCTCGCTCGAACCCATCATCAGAGACAGTCGCGAATAAAATGTCCTCCAAAAGTCACACAGACGTTGGGCTCACACGATGCAAACCTACTTTCAGGGAAGTCAAATGGTCTGACGTATTGTTTTGGGCGTACATTAACAATCTACCGGTTGAAATGCAACAGAGAGTCGAAGAAAATTTTCGACAACGTGCATAGTTCAGCAAAATGACAGCTGCAACAACCCTTCAGGCTTCCTGGAAGATGTCGCGACGAAGCCAGACCTCAAGCTGCACCATGTCTGCACTAACCACCACGAGCTACTCACTCCAAGGTTTGCAGATTACCCTGAATGCGGCACTGCAGTTGCAAGACACATTCACAAAGTATCTATGTGATTTTAAGCAGAGACCATCTAAAGAGCCAAACGGAGTTAAGTCTTGAAAGTCACACTGAAATTCGAATTACGGTATAGATAAGTACAACGTCGTTTTCTCCCTTACTATCCTCTCAAGATCTTGTTTCCCGTCGGTCTACTGTGAGTTTCAGCGCAGATGAACATAGAGTAGATAACCTCCTGATAGATAATCAGAACACAAGAAGAAACGATGGGGCCTTAAACCTACCTGCGCTTCCTACAGCTGACTGCGCATAGAACACTATAACGAAATCGGGAATCTAGATGTCATTTCGAATCTCAATGTGAAGCAGACGTCCAGTCCGGAGGAAATAGTTGGCTCGAGGAACAACGCTACATAAATCAACTAGCTCCTACATTTTATAAGTTGGCGGCGAAGATAAAACATGAGGTCTTTCATTAAATTGTCGAGAGAGGGATCATTTCAGAAATGCGTAGGCAGCGCTATGTCTGGTCTGCACTGGCGATGGAATGCAAAATCACAGCAGCCAACTTATTTTAGCTTTCATTTTCCGCTCGCGTACTTTTCAGCTGCCCACGAACATTTCTCAATGAACTTCTACCATACCATTACGAACCCAGAGTGAGAACAAAAGCGTCCATTAGCAGCTTTGATGCATGAGCTCTGACCAGCAATTATCTAAGGCGTCCAGACTCATCGCTGGCTGGTTTGGCCCCTGATAGCATCACCATCACTATCACCACCCCCTCCCCCTTGAACGAACGAAGAGTACCCTGAGGGGTGTGGAACTAGGGCAGTAATTAAGGTCCGTGCAAATGCGGGTAGTAATTGGGCAATCGACAGCCAGAATCAGTATGACAGCAAAAAACGCTATAAGTAGACCGCGTTGACAGAGTAGGGTAATCGAATCGAGATGAAACTGCAACTCTACTTGCTTCTGCTGACGGCCATCGTTTTGGGTATCTCGATGGACGGTAGCATAGTGGACGCAAAAGAGGTGAAGGAGAAGGAGAAGACTGAAATCCTATTGACTATCCTCCAAGATCGTGATGGTGGCAACTGGAGTACTGGCGGCCAAGGAAGTGGTAACTGGGGTACCGGCGGCCAAGGAGGTGGCAACTGGGGTAAAGACGGCCAAGGAAACGGCAACTGGGGTACCGGTGACCAAGAAAATGGAAACCGGGGTACCGGCGGCCAAGGAGGCAGCAACTTGGTTAACGACGGCCAAGGAAACGGCGATTGGGGTACCGGTGGTCAAAGAAATGGAAACCAGGGAAGCGGCGGCCAAGGAAGTAGTAACTGGGGTAACAACGGCCAGGGAAGCGGCAACCGGCGTACCGGCGGCACAAATGGTGACACCTGGGGGTGATGGTGCGAACAGAGGCCCCGGGGCACACCCGGTTAAAAAGTACTGGACAAAAAACCACTGACAGGTCAGCCCTTGAGTCACTTCACCTTCTACCTTCCTGTCCTCTTCTTTGGAAACTGAATACTATCGTCTTTTAAATAAATGTTGTACATCAGCTTCCACCTTTGATGTCATGGGTTATTGGTTTTTGTTTGAGATGGCATTGGTGGCAGTTGGGCCTTGGACTGTGTAGTTTCCTTTGTTGGGATTGGTTTGGTAATTGCCGGAACATATTTTTATGCATCCATTCACTTCCAGCAGTATTCTCAGCAGTGGACATTTGAGGTTACCTTTTGGTTGTTTTGTGCCGTCTGCGACCGGTAACATATGGAGAAGTAGGACTGAAAAGTTAGATGGGAGGCTGATTTGAAACATTTGTGATTCGACGAAAAATGGTCCTTTAATCGGAGATTTGATGCTGCCGTTCCGAGCCCTTGACTGTGGTAGCACAGTGATGGACAGTGATGAGCAAATTCAGTCACCGAGAGCCAGAGTGATGCCCTTTTTAAAATTCATACTCCATATAAAAGTGTTCTTTTGTTCTGAAATATATTGAGCCGAACTCGTCCCATATGTGCCATGCAGCGACATAATATCAGCAAAACACGTGTGTAGGCATTAACCTAGTATCTACTACACCACATGTCCTCTTACATTTTGGGATGGTATTTAGTATATGCATAAAGGTATTCACGGAGAGCATACTGCTAAGAGTTGAATGCAGAAGAAGACGGGGCTCAAAATTAGTCCCGAATTAGACTAAGACACATATGTGAGTTCGTAATGAATTTAGAAAAAAAGTATGAATATGTGAGGAACAGTGTACGTTCCGGGTTTGCCCTGGAAGTGACTTAAGAGCCCGCGCAGGCACTAGTCACATAGGGACTAGTAGGGTACGATGAAATGGGTGATGCACATCTGGGATTGGGTATGACTGGCTGATGACGGCTAAGAACCCAGAAGTGGCCATTCCGGTTTCATTTTGCTTTGTCGGATCCATTTCATCGTATTCCACTAGTCGCCATATGATTGCCCGTGCGGGCTCTAAAGTCAGCTTCAGGGCAAAAAAGGAACGTATATTGTTCCACACTCAGATGGCCGATCCCCGCATATTCATCCTATTTCCGATCTCAACCGACAGAGCAACGAGTCCATAGTGCCATTGCAGTGCCAGAGTGGAAAACTCAATGAAATAGGTCCTGGGTTCGAATTACGGGCGGTCCACGTCTGGAATAGGGTATGACTAGCTGATGACGGATAATAAACGAGAAATGGCCATTCCGGTCTCCCATTTCCTTGTCGGATTCAGTTCATAAATATGTAAGCTCAGTATTAATTATCTACAGAGGTCCCCCACCCCCAATTTCCGGTCTTCTCGGCTTTTGTCTTAAAACCAGCTTTTTGTGTGACAGTGGTGAGAGAGTGAAGTAGAGATTATTTGCAAATCTACTTTCGCCATAATCCCGCAGGATTCAGTGCCAATTGAAGTCCGTGGTGGA